CAAATTTGAAAAATCTCTGAACACCTTTCTTTACAGGAGTTTATGGCAGATTCTAGACTAAAATAGAAAGCCATGCCGAACATTCTGGCATAGCTAAAGGATGCTTCCTCAACTAGCTGTCCTCCAGATGTGTGAACACCAATGCCAATAATTTCTCAGCCAGCATGACCTTATTGAGGATTCTGTAACTTGAAGTCAACACATCTGGAAGAAGTCAAATTTGAGGGAGGCTTGGCTTCATGCTAGCCAAAGGTCACATTCAGGCTTTTTTCAGTGAATGATAAGTCAAAGGCTCCAAAGCATCCTATGGGTGAAACATTTTCTTTCTGAAATTTAGGAGAGAGAAAAAAAAGATGAGTGAATGAAGACATAAAAGTTACTGTAAAAATTATGCATTTTCCCACATGTTAGACAGTAGTGGCAGATGGAGGCATGTCAAAGAAAACAGGATGCACAATAATTGGCAAAACCTGTTTACTTTAAATTATACAGGACCATGGTTATCATTTTGCTGTCATAATATACATATTTAAAAAAAATTATAGTGTAAAGACGTAAATAGGGCAGAAGGTACTTCAGATTCTGTAAAAGGCATCTAATTAACATTGATCTTTGGCAAATAAATTTAGCACAGACACCTCCTCATGCTGTTCAGGAAGATAAATTATGTAAGGTAAACCAAGCTATCTAAACGTATTTTCTAATTGCTAAGGTTTCCATAAAGCTAATTATATATACCAGAGACAATTAATACTATTATCATTTAGCTAATTTGATTTGAAACTATTGGTTAAGATTCCTGAAGGCTTACTGGCCTCTATTGGCAGAATTAGGCATATACTTATCTCTCTCCTGATTTAGTTCCTTTCCGTCGAAATTAATACATTGGTGTCTACAGTTAGTCTTACAGTTTCTAACTTATTGTATTGTTAGTGTTTCATCTAAGTAGTGAAAGCATTGCTGTGCCACCAGTCCTGCACATCTCATGTGCAAGCATGAGGTGCATGTTTTCTATTTCCCCTTTTTGGGTGTATGTGTGTCTTTCTGCCAGTGTTGATATTTGGAGACTGCTTGGATGAATCCTCATAGTTTTCTAGACCAGCAGTTGCCAACCGGTGGGCCATGAGAAAATTTTGGTGGGCTGCAGAGAAATCTCACCCCCAGAGCACCCCCCCACCCAAAGCAATTAATCCAGGCTGAGCAGAAACACAAGGCTGCACCACCCACATGGCCAGCAGGAACTCTCCCCGCCCACTCACTCCTTACTTGGTAAACTTGCCTGCTAAATTACTATTTTTATTTTTTCCGACCATCAGCTGTTCTGCTGTGCCAGGAGATTTAGATTAGCTAGGAAGCAGGAAATGGTTGGATTTATTGCTTTCTAGCTAGTCTTTAGATCTTCGGCTCAGCACAGCTGAACCTCCCTTAGGACTGAAGGTTTGCTTGCAAGCAAATTCAGTGCAGACTCACGGCAAGCAAATTTGAGAGATTGAGCTAGCTGATGGCAGATAGATAGATCGTTCTCTGAATGAATCTGTGATTCTGTGAGCAACTCAATCTGCCTGCTTTGCCTGATTTTGGGTAAAGGTTGCTTTTTTAAAAAATAAAAAATTCAATATTTACATGCATGGTGTGTTGTGAGTTAATTTTGTGAGTTTGCTTGCTAGCAAATTTTATGTGACAGACTGAGCTAGCCAATGGCAGATAGATCTGTGAATGAATCTGTTATTCTGTGAGCAACTCAATCTGCCTGCTTTGCCTGATTTTGGGTAAAAGTTGCTTTTTCTTTATAAAAAATTCAATATTTATATAAATACTTATATTTATATACAAGCCATGCCCAACCAGTCACATGACCACCAAGCCACACCCACAAATTAGGCCACACCCACAGAACCAGTTAGTGGTCCCTGGGATCTAAAATTATGAGTTTGGTGGTCCCTGAGGTTCAAAAGGTTGGCGACCCCTGTTCTAGACAATATTTCTTGAAGTGGATTGCCATTGTCTCCTGCCTTGGGCTGAGAGAGAGCAACAATCCAAAGTCATCTAGCTGGGTGGATACTTAACGCAGAGACAGAATTCACAATTTTTCATTTTCTAGTCTGATTTCTTAAACATTACAACAAACTGGCTTTCATTCTTTATCTATAGTATGTATGTATGTATGTATGTATGTATGTATGTATGTAAGTATGTATGTATGCATGCATACATGTGTATTTTTATAGCTGCCCATCTCTCAAGTTATTCTGGGCAGCTCATAATAATCTAACAAAAAACAAGTTAAAACCCAAGATATAAACATATAAAACCATAAGTAACAACTTTAAACAAAAATAAGCATATTCCATGACAAAAAACCCTACTCTTGTATCAAGCTCAACAATGCCATTGTAAAATGTTATTTCCTTTCTTTTGTGTCTAATAAAATCAATAATATTTATAAGTCCTAAAACTCTCCATTTTCATTTTAGATTGTAACAAAGAAATATCGAAATTATGAATTCCCAGCAGAAATGACAAGACTGTGGCAATACCTGAACAATGCTTATGCTCGGGATGAATTCATCAACACTTGTCCTGCAGACAAAGAGATTGAAATAGCTTATGCAGAAGTAGCTAAGAAGTAGCTTTGCAAATCTTAATCAGAATCAGCAAGATCCATTTCTCCAGAGAATTCCTGTTTTATAGATGCTTCTCCATGAAGGCCTTCAACTATATATGTATGAAAGTTGGATAACTTTGACGAAATTGATCACTTTTCTGGATGCATCTTGATCAATATTTCACTGATGAAATACTGGGTGAAGACAATGTGGAATAGAGAAAGCACAACTCCAAATTATTATGTTTTATAATTTATGATTTGGTAGGAGTACTTGGAGCTAGCGGGGTGGGCCTTCCCTTTTCTTACAGAAAATGTAGGACAGGAGAAGACATTTCTGAAATCTTTACCAATAAACTGGAACAAATGTTATATGGTCCACTGATATCATTTGGTTTCATTCATATACTTGGGCTAAAAATTGAAAGGTAAATATAAAATATAATTTTGCCTTATTTCTAATTATGATCTATCTGAAAATACTGTATGCTGCAATTAGGGTTGAGGAGTTTAAATTTGGAGGCAAAATACGGATGACTGTAAGAAAATGTATCTTAAGCAGAGTGTCGCCTTTAGGACTATTTAGCATAATTTAAGGCCTTCCAAAACCTATTCCATCCACTCAGATAGCAGGGCCTAAAGCTCAGTGGAAGCTTTTAAATCTTAAATATAATGGGGATCATAACCCAAGTGTATCTAATGTGGTTCATGCTGCTCATCCTTACAGGTTTAAAAGAAAGGCTGGAAATCCTATTTGGAAGTAGAATTTTACTACTTAGGTTTGGGTAAAAGTAAGAAAATGCCACTGACCAAACCTGAGTGAATATTAAAAATAGAGAGGTTCGTGTATCTCATTTTCTCCCATGCAGAAGATGGAAGCATTGAAATAGTGATTTAAAAAATTATGAGTCTTTATGACTGGCGGGGGGAGGCAGGTGTTAGAAGGAGTGATACAGGAACAGGAATCTAGATAATCTTAAAATCTCACTAATGTTCTGAACTTTGTTATTTTGTAATACATGCAGTCTTTGCAGAAAGATTTGTGCTTTAAGACAATGACTGCTTTGTTCTGTCAATTGCTCACCACTGTATTTTTTTGTAATGAAATGTAGAGGTTGAGTTCATATTCTTTTGGCACTTGCAAGAAAAAAAATGAATATGATATAGCAGGACTGCCAACTAAGTTGGACAACATCCAGTTGCACTCTTTTAACTTCAATAAAGGAGACGTTCAAATTTTCTATTATTTTCTTTAAGCCATAAAAACAAAGGAAGATTTTTGTTTGTAAAATCTTTATTTGAGACCAGGCTCAAATAAAGTGAAGTGAAGTGGTATAGAAAACTAGGAACCTGATCTTAAATCTCAAGGAGCATTCTGGAGCTCACAACCTTCAACTCTCAAAAAGTGATGCCTCCTGAGGGTGACTCTGTGGACTAGCAGCAAAACATAATATATAGCTACTTCAGCTTGTCTTGCTTAAGTGATATTTCTGTGGAAAGCAAAAATAAGATAGAGACTACAAAAAGTAGTGTGAGTGGGAAAGGTATAATAAGGACCTGATGGTGACATCCATAAATTCTATTAAGTCAGGGAGCTGCCACAGTAAAAGTTTTTCCTTGAAACATATAAGAATTCAAAAATATTTTTCTTTTAAAAGTAGCTGCAGAAATAACCCTGCAGCTATGTTCAGAATGTAAGCAATCTAAGACAATATAGATTTCATCAGCCTCTCCATGCGCTCTGATGCAGTTCTCACATACCTACCATTGATTGCAATGAACTTCCACTGGAATCTAAAATGATTTGGAATCCAAAATCTTGGCTGCAAAAAATAAAACTGTGTTGTATCCTTTGTTTATATCCAGCATTTGTTTTCATTGAACTTTGTAATTCCTCTTTTGAAAGTCCATAAACTCTCCAGTTTTCCTTCTGAATAGACAAATTAAAGACAGGTTAGACTAGAAAGCAATGGTTCCTGATTTTAAAACATTGCTGAGAAATCAGCTGGCTCAGAAAATGCAAGTAATAGCCAGAAAAGTCTAGTGAGATCACAAAAATCTATTCGCGTAAAAGAGAAGAGAAAGCAGGCTGGAATTATTTCTTCTTTAAATATATGAAATATTTTCCAAATCAGCATTCAAAAACAGATGATCCTATATATAATAAACATGGCCTGTTTTTATGTAAAGAAGAGTGATATTGATATTTCTCTCTTTTTTTTAATGCTAGCCTTCACTTCTAAAACTGCTGACCAGTTAGGCTATTGCGAATAAACTTAGAGCTAATGGCTCAATAGTTGTAATATCAAGTGAAGACTTGCATGTATGAATTGAGACAACACAAATTAATTTGCATAGTTATAATTCTCATTTCACTTGTTATCAAGAAAATTCAGTCCAAAAAGTTCACATTTCTCCATGTACAATCAAATGATAAGGAATCAATTATATTAATGTGTGAATCAGCTCCCCTTTGAATGGAATTAAAACTGATTCTTTGCTTCAACACTAAAAGCTTAAAAAACAAGCAGAGGATTAAAATGTAATGTCAGTGCCATTGATTCCTGAGTACTTCACAATCTTTCAATGTAGAGAATTTCTCTGGACCCCTCTTTGTCTATTATCCTGCCTGTTGATTTAAAATATTGCTAATCTCAGATAACTTCCTTCTTCCCCAAATTCTGATAGCATATAGTTAGCTCTGTACTAGACTTTGCCTACCTATCATGCAATAAATAACCCTGTGTTCAGGGGTGGGATTCAATTTTTTTAACAACTGGTTCTGTGGGCGTGGCTTAGTTGGTGGGCATGGCTTGGTGGTCATGTGACTGGCTGGGCGTGGCCAACTCAACATCACTCACATCGAGGCACACACCTCCTCGCCTGGCCTCTCATGACTGTGGGGATGCTGCAATAGTCATAAGTGTGAAAAATAGTTATAAGTCACTTTTTTTCAGTGCCATTGTAACTTTGAATGGTCACTCCACACAAGCAAAGTACCATCAAAGGTGGGGAACAAACTCCAGAGAAGTTCCAGAGACAGGAAGTCCAGTCCTGCCAAGAATGTAATAAGAGTTAATGGAGAGGCAGTTTCTGTAAGCAACACCAGAATGTTTCCTTCCTGCCTTCCTTACAGGATTAGGCCAGTAATTTCTTCTAACAACCGGTTCTCCGAACTGCTTAGAATGTTAACAACCGGTTCTAATGAATAGGTGCGAACCTGTAGAATCCCACCCATGCCTGTGTTATAGTAATGACTTGTTTTACTCATTCTTGCTGTCAGTCTCAGGAACTCTCATACAAGACACAAAAACTTCCTTCCAATGTGGAATCTGTATTTCCTCCTGTCTCTGAAGTTCTCTTTGAAGACCCTTTAGTTCTTTGGAGGACAATCCTCAAAAATGACTCTCAGGCAGAAAAGAGAGTTACTTTCATTCACAGAGTCCTTGGCTAAATTAGAAGCTGGGGAACTTATATCCCCTTTTCCCCCCCAGATGTTTTTGGACTCTCAACTTCACATTCACTAACATAGGTAAGAATTGCAGGTGTCATGCTGTGGGTCAGAAGTTCCTCAACTTCATTCTAAGGCTTTCTGGGAAGGAAAAAAAAAAGCCCCTTTACCCTTGGAAGGAATGCTTATTATCTTAGCTATAATTTAGAAATGTTCTTCATTACTTCTTGGAAGCAGCCCTCCCTATGCTGAACTTAATAGCTTTGCCTTGCCATTTATCATACAATTGGCTACTGATACAAGGAATTCTGAAATCTGTAAAACATCTGATCATCTTTTTACTTTACATACGACTTCCTTGTTCTCTATCAGAAATCTAAATATATCATGTAGTGAAGTGGCCCAAAAGGTTTCTACCAAATCCTCAAATTCTCTCACTTCCTAGCTATTATTCTCCTCTTCCTCCAATGTCAAAGCTTTCTTCCTTGATACATAAGTTATTGTCCACCTGGTTCTCTTTATTTAGCTATTTCCCCAGATTTATCCACCGAGCAAGAAATGTTAATATTCCTGAAAACTGACTGCTTCGCTATCTCATCTCATCCCTGCATCAAATGTATTGGAATGAGGAGAACAACTATGTATTGTAGTTTCACAAGTTTAGTATGAAGAACATGGAACTGCTAGGTATATAGTTGCTGAGGAAGCATACACATACTAAAAAGTGTGAATATTATTCCTTTGGCAGGTGAGACAAATGAAATGATAATTGATAGTTGAGAGGGGTGCTTTTTTAAAAACTTTTAATAGCAAGTATGTTACAATCATCCTGTTTCAAAAACTAAAGGCTCAATGTACATGTTATGTTGTTTTAGGCTAAGATCCTAATCTTATACGCTAAGACAGAACTGGCTGTAGTATATACTGTATTTAGTAAACAGATACTGCAATGCCTCCCTACAATTAAGGAAACCATGGCTTCTGTAATTCAGATACTGAATACTATAGTTTTTTAGTGCTTTGATTTGAGATCTGATAAAAAATAAGGTAACATGCTAATACCCTGTATACTATTTTCATATTTTTCTCCTTTATTAAAGCAAGCTATTAACATATGAATTTATGCTAATTTTATGAGGAACCAGCTTTCTTGAAAATAGCCACTTAATTCATTATACTCTGAAGGCTTAGATAGTAATTGAGGAAATCTACATATTTCTAGCATGTGTAGTATATTTTCAGCTTCTGATTGACATCAAACAGAACTAGAGGTTCTTGTTTCCTTTCTTTTCCTTTCCATTGTAAATGTGAAGTAGTATGTGTTAATCCCGCTGAAGATTGTTTATCTATATTGGCAAAGTAAGATTGTTGAAAAGAATCTAAATGGTGAGACAGACAGTATGGATTAACAATAACTTTGTTCATAAATTTCTCACAAGATGTAAAGAAAGATGCAGATCAGAGGGGAAAGTAGCCAACAATATGGATTTAATCACTGATGTTTCAGAAAATGCAGACCAAATGTCTGTAAAAATGTCAATTGTAGCCAAACATTTCTTAGATATTTGTTTCAAAGACATCAGAACTTCACACAGTATTTCATTCCTAACTGGGATCCACATTGATCCCTGTTTTTGTATTAGTTTAAAAACTGCCAGTGGACACCTTTTTCTGATGGAGTACTTGAGCTGTTGAGGATATCTAAAAAGCCGGGCCATAACATTTTAAGGAATTTGAAACAAGTTCTATGGTAAACACCTTTTGCAAGGGTTTCTGTAGGGTAGCTATAGCCCATCACAGTAACAACAATAAAAGGATATGTCGGTGTCTTAAAGACTGACATATGTGTTATAACATATGTTTTTTGTGGACTACAGTCCACTTCAGCCACATCTGGAAAAGTGAACTACAGTCAATGAAAACGTTAGTGTAATAAATCTGTTGATTTTTAGGGTGGCATAAGACTATTTGATTTTTTTTTAAGGATGTTGAATTCCTGAAAGTATGCAGTCTCAAGATTGGAAGAGCTTTCTAGTGATTTGCATTTTTCTTATATTGTATGTATATTTGGAGAATCCATGAAGCTATATTTATTTTTTGACTCAGTAACTCCAATTTCCAATTTCCTTCTAATGGCTTAATACAATATTTGGATACAGCCAATGTGACTTGTTTCTGAATGAATTTTATGATATATGTTATGTATATCTACTAAAAAGTAGAATCTAACTAGTTCATTGGGGCTTACTGTCAGATAACATTTGGAGGATTATGATCTCATACTCTCCAATTATATTATCATAAGACTATTAGGATTCCTGTCATTCTCTGTTAATTGTGAAGAAAAACAGTTTAAAAACTATGAAGGCTCCACCTGAGCCTGGTTCTTTCCCACAATTTGAGATTCTCAATAGTTGTGGTATCATTCACTGAGTTGACATTAAATTAGTTTGCATCAATAATTTACTCTCATTCAATAAATTCTTCTGTGAGAATATGGTCGTCTAAAATGTAGGAAATACATTTCTCATACAGCCTCAATTTTTAATCTTCTTGAATAATATTTGCATCAACAAGATTATGTTTTTTATAAATCATTTCAAGAGATATTCAGTGAATCCAAATACTTGAAATTTTTGATAACAATGATTACAATGAATCATCCAGAATTGGAAGATGTAGTCAAAAGTTAAATATGAATCCATAGGTGGAGGAAAGAACTGTATGTACACGAAGAATATTACTAATGTTAGATTTTTCACTTTCAAACTATGCTGTAACAACAAAAGGTCATACTAGATATGCTAGAAATTGTTAATCAAAGTCAGTAATTAATTATTACATAAATAATATAGCAAAATCTTGCGTAAAGCAGAATTATACTGGTCTCTATTAATTTTCCTGATCACAGATCCCTTATCAAAATATGATATGAAAAATAAAGTATGATTAGAGGAGAACTTACCACCAGCAAGGAAAAGTAACCAGTTTTCTATAAAAAGAAGTTTCTTTGTCCACAACAAATGAGACTAGCTTTGATGGGGCTTCATTCTTAGTTAGAAAAAAATAGATATATTTGAAGCTTCATGTCTGACTCAGCAAGAAACTGTTGTTCCAGAAAGCCTGAGGTTTTTTTTAGAA